TTCTCAAAAATTTATTGAATTTATATGCATCACCTAGGAATATCTAATTTACCAAATAGAAGAAGAAAAGCCATAGAGTACGCATGAGATAATTAGATTTGAGTAAAAAAGGTCTTTGAAAGTAAATAAAATATTTTTTTACCATAAAATAGAAACCGAACTTATAGAAAGAAATAAGATTGAAATGCATATATAAAATTTTGCAAGTTTCTTATTTTTAAATGGTATGTTTACTATTGAATCATATACATAGAGTGTTGAGATCGCTTCAATAGTTACATATTAGAAATCAATTGGAAAAAAATTGAAGAAGTAGTTAAATATAGTAGCAAGGTATAGAGATATTTAAACTACTTAAATAGGTTTAAACTTTCTTTTTAAAAGAGTTGCATCATTAAATTCATAAGTTCTGTAGAAAAAAAGTAACGTTAATATTGTGCATATTGTTAAGAATATACCTAGATATGAAGTAATTAATAAAATAACAGGCTTTTAATTGCAATTGCTACCATTATATTAAGTCAAAAATCCATAATAGCCACAACTTGAAATTCCTGAATTAATTTCAAGATTAGGTATGGAAAGTAACCATATATAAATTAGGAAGTATATTGTGAGTCTTTAGTTAATTGAATTTCTAATTTTTCTAGTCTTAAGCAACCATGATTTGAATTTAAAATATTTAGCAAAAGTAATCAATACCAGGTAAATAATATATGCATACATAAGAACTTAAACTATGATAAATGTGATAATAATCAATCTTTGTTAACCACCTATAAATAAAAAATAAGTTCCTGTAGAATATTCTGACATTAAGCTTAAAGTTTTCATTTTTTGTTCATTTTAAGATTCAAGAATATAAGTTTAAAAGATATATCCTAGTATTTGTAACATGTAGATCAAAGCCAAAAAACAAAAAAAATTCGCGTGGATGCTATATGTGTACTTGTCTTCTATAATTTCTAAAACTGTCTCAAAAAATAAACCAAGCGCACCTTTTTTATTTTTAGTTTGTATTTCACCATTTTTATTTTGTTTTTTTACTTCTACTTTTTTAGTATCCATAACTCACTATTTTACTAAACTTATTTACTTGATACTTATTTCTACTATTTTTGTTTGTTTGTTTATTAAATTACTAAATATATATATCTTTTTTTGTTTGTTTTTTAAGTAACTTAATTAATAAATTTAGTGCATGATATTAATAAGAAATGAGTAATCTGTATATATCTATATCTCTCTCATTTTAATCAATAAATAAATTTATTTCTTAATAAATCTACATCCTCAAATTTCATTCTAATTAGTTTTCTTTATATTTAACAAAATTATCTATTAATTTTATTAAATGCTTTTGATAATATTTCAAATTACAATTTACTCAAAGAAATTAAATGTGAACTTATTTAAAAGTAAATAGTAATTTTATAAATACATATTTTTCATTATTATTTTTTATTTAAAAAAACATTTTTTATTTAGGATATGAATTTTTCTGAATATTTGAATCAAGAATATCAATAAAATGCTAGGACTTTTTTAAAATTTAGAGATTTTGATATTAAAATGAAATATTAAAAATGTAATATTCATAAATCTGTAATCAAACAAAACAAAAATATCTTTCTATTCTTCTATTCGAAAATCAGCGCTTAAAATATAAGTTTAAAGTTTTTAATAAAAAAAATAAACAGTTTTAAAAAAGATATTATGTTTAAAAACCAAAAATATTTTATAAGTATTTCATTACTTTTAACTTTCAAGTATTTTTGTTTTTGAATTTTAAGGAGAAAAAAAATTTACAAAAAATGATACACATTTAATATATAAATAGTGTAATTTAATTTATATATTTTCAATAGATAAAATGATATACAGTAAAAACTTATAATTTCATATCTCTTACCAAATTCTTATTAATTTCCCAAAATTAAATTTAACAACCTTTTTTTTTGAAAAATCAGTAAACTAAAAAAGAACTTTATTTATGAGAGAACATATTAAATAAGTAATTGCTATTTTTAAAGGATAGAAGTTTCCTTATTATATTCTGAATAAATAATTAAATAGCTGAAAAAATAAATAAAATGAAAAAGTCTATTTAAAATTACACACAGATGATAATTATTAAATAATATTACTTTATTTTTAAAAAATAAATATAAAATATAAAAAAGAACAAATAAATATTTTTATCTATAAAAATATTTTCAACTCTTTGAATTACTCCTTTGATAGTAGTTGAGATACATTGAATTAACTAAAATTTTTCTATTAGAATATAACTTTTTCCAAAAATGAGAAATTCTTTACAATTAAATTTAATTTTTTTTTATATCAAAGCTAATTATTTTTAATTTGAATAAAAAATGGATCAATTTTTTAGCTTTTTGATTTTAAGATTTCAAGATTAAATCTAAAGCTGATCTATAATATTCAAAGATTATCTTTAATAAGTTATAGAAATTTAAAATGATGATAATAATTATCAAAACTAAGCGTCTATAATACTGAGCTTCTAATACATAAACTAATGTCTGCAATATCAAAGTAATTAAAGTCATTGTTTATAGCAAAACTTCTAAATTTTGAGATTGTTTTTATTAATATGGGTTCTGTTGTATTGTTATCTTTAAAAATATAAAGCAAATAAAGAGTATTAATTACCTTTAAATGATAGCTTGTATATCCAAATTTAAAATAATCATTATGATAAACCTTTAAAACATTTTAAGAATCTCCCAATAATAAAATTTTTATTTATATCCTTGAAAAATAAAATAATATGTTTAAATAAACTTAATGTTATTTTATTTCTTTTTTTAGAGGGCAGATTTTATTTTATCATTAAGTATTAATGGTATTACAATAGACCAAATTATAGTTAAAGGATAGACCATTCCAATCTAAAAAAGTGCATGCTCATAAGTCCAGCACTTTTAAAGATGATCATTAAGCATATAATAATAAGTTCCAACTTTTTTACAAACGCAAAGAGACACTAATAATTTTACAATTGAAGAATAATAGAAGAAGTAGATAAATATAAAATATGTCTTAATTTTATAGAATCTTTATATGTTTCTACTTAATAGATACCTAGAGCTTAAGACTAAACCAACTATAAATACAATTTAAGCAATTTACATTACTAATCTATTAAACCATAATTAGGATATTACCCAATCCTTATATATGCAATCTAAATTTGTATAAGTTATTTGAGAAGGATCACCACCAAGCTTATAAAAATTTCCTATAAAATCTGGAATATAATTGTAGATATCAATAGAAGATGAGAATATTTATAAGTAGTGAAAAAATATCTTTAAAATAATTCCAGTCTAAAATCCTCTTAATTTAGTTTTGCTCAAAAATAGTATCTCCATTTTTCTTAAATATTCAATTTTTATAATTAAAATATTGCTTTGTATTTAGCTATTTACACTAATCACAATGTAAAATGTATAAAATCCAATTATTATGGCCAAATAGAAATATAATTAGACTATTTTACCACATTCATAACATTCTTTACCTTTTTAAGCGTAGTTTACTCCCCAATATATTCCTTTATAATCACAAGAATTACATAAAGGACCAATATAACCTTAAATGCATCCATTAATCTAGTTTTAATTTGTTTCACTGCATCCTAGCATCTCGCATAAGTAAATAATATCTGTTAACTTTGATTCTCTCCAATAATTGTCTTGTAGTATGATTTAATTTGAATAACATTATTTTGCATAAATATTTGAGCATTTTTAGCATTAAACTAGGAAACTTGATATCCCTTAGTTTGGGTCTGCTAATGAGTATGTTCCAGGCATGCACTAATCACACCTTTTTAAGTGTAAAAATGGTTAAATATTCATTTTTAATATACAATAAATATTATTACGAAATATATCCTTGTTTTGGATACAAAACTTCTCCTATTTAGCATTTCCTAAAGTTGAGATCTAAATCTATAATAAGCTATTATCCAAAAAATTGTGATATCAAAATTAATTAGAAATCAGTGGTTTTAAAATTTCCAGCTGTAATATTAAGCTAAAATAGATTTATAGTTTTTATATATTGTAACTCTTACCCGAGTATAATAGTTAAATTAGTTATTTCAGATGAATTTGCTATTGATATTTTATAATTTTCTAACTCTTCTTTTATGCTCGGAGAAAACTAATTAATTTAATCTGCAATATTAAAATTTAGCATTTCATTTTATTCATCGAAAAATTATACATAAATGGGTTATTTAGTATAATTTCCACTTTAAAAGTTCTTTATTATTATTTTATTATAAACTTATTTAGTTTAATGATTTACTTTTAGTAATTTTTTAGGATATGAGCCTAAATTATTTCCATAAAATTTTCCTATTTTTAAAAAATTTTAAATGTTAAAAATAAATAAAAAAATGTTTGTTACCTTTATTTTCATATATTTAACTAAATTTATCTATCTTTAAGCTATTTATCTAATTATAATAGATTCCACCTCCAATATATGCAATATTATGAATTATGTTAGTAAATTATATTTTTAAATAAGAATTGTCTGAATAAATAGCTCCACCTCTCTCTTTTTTAGAAACATTATTTTTAAATATACAATTGTTTATGTAAATTTTAGAGTTTGAAGAAAATATTGCTCCTCCTGAATTTTCCAAGGCTTAGTTTAATACAAAATTTGTATTTTAAATCAGAGATTGTTAAATTTTATATAAATAAATTGCTCCTCCATCACCAAAAGCTGAATTCTCTGTGAATAAAGTATCAATTACCTACAAATTTTTACAGTCCTATAAATTTAATATACTCTAATTATCTATAGTTAAAGACTATGAGCTTTGTAAAATGTTGCTATTTAATTTAAATGTGCAATTTTGGATAAGTATTTTCTCCCCAAAATTTATTGATAATACAGAAGGATATTAATAAGAAGAAATATTTTAAAATTTAACATCAAATATCTACATTAGTTTAACGCCTTAATTATATATTGTTGTAGATTATTTTTTTAATTCAATGTTCGTAAACTCAGATTGACTAATATTCAAATATTATTTAGAGTATAAGTTCATAATATTGCTTTAAAAGTGTAGGTTATTTACTATTAGCTTCTTTATTGTTGATAATTTATTTCCTAAATTAATTGCAGGTTCTTAAACGTTAGAGTGTAAATTAGTAATATTAATATTGTTTGCATAAAAAGTATTGCTGTTTTGAATTGTATTTAATCCTACCTCAAAATAATTTAAATTTAATAAGGCAACATTATAACAATATGATATAGTTAAATTTGAAAGATTAGTTGTATCAATTCCTCCAAGATTTAATAAATACTTATCAGATTAGCCTTATAAAGAGTTAAATGTGGGGTCTAAATAGTTTTAAATTGGATTTTCAATAACATCTTAAACTGATAAAGTGTTTATCTGAGTAAATTATAAATTTACCAAAGTAAGCTGATCTATTAATGATATTTATATAAATTATAAACTCTCAATTTATTTAACGACAATATTTTTTATGTCTACGTTTTTCCCATATGTTACTAAAATCACTGGTATATCTTATTTCGAATTGCTAAAGATTGAATTTGTAATCTATAAAGAATAAAAAAGTTAAAAGTTGATCATTAAACCTGTGAAATTGACAAATCCTAAATTCACTGAACCATCAAACACAGTATTGTTAAATTGTACATTTTAAACTTAGAAAAAATTGAATAGATATGGATTTAAGTCTATCTTCATGCTATTCGATGGTTTAATTCTATTATTTAATACTTAAGTCGTATTTATTATTACACTTTCACATTTTTTTGCAATAATTAATCCTTACAAAAAATTATTTTATTTAATTATTACATTCTACACTTAGAGGTTTTATAGATTATTAATTGTAAACATCGTTTGATAGAAATTACTTTCACTTATTGTGAGATTTTTTATTATAAGATTTGAAACCCCGTCTATTAAAACAAAGCTAGTATCTGACTAAAAAGTTATATTTTATAGTTCCAAATTATTTATAATAACATTTGTGATATTAGAAAATATTAAGTTTGAAGTAATTATTTAGTCTTTAAATGTTATTTCATTAATAATTAATTAATCATATGAATTTAAATAGATAGATCCACTCTACTAGCTAAATTAGATAGTCATATTAGAAAGTTAAAGCTTTTACAATTACTTATATAAATTAAAGTTGAGTTATTAACTATTTGTCATGTTAAATAACAGTTACATACTGCTTATTTTTAAATTTTTAAACAAATTTGATATAAATTTGGTTGATGATATTTCTATTTAATTTTGTTAGTTATTGGTTAAGTTTTAGGTTGCATATATCTCTACAATATCTTTGCTTTTTATATGGTCGATCATTACTGGGAACTAACTTCTATTTTAATTAATAAAGTATTTTTAATCTATAAATATTAAATGAATCTTATTTTACATAATTTAGGCAGACTGATAATAAATTTGATATCTAAGAATATCTTGCCTTGACGATTGTGAGGACTGCTTAATGATGTGCTTTAAAAAAATAATTAATTTTAAAAATAAATAATAAAAAAAATACTTTGTAATTATCCTTAAAGCTTGATATATTAACTACTTCTAAACTATAATCTTGATATTTTGCTATCTAATACTTAAATTGCTTAGATTGATAATTTAGTGATGCTTAAAACAAATTAAAATCAGAAACTCCATAAATTTTTAGTTAAATTAACCCGTTACTTTTCTAGGAAATGCTATAATTGTAAATTATAGGATTATAAATGTTAGTCAGAGATTATATTTTATTCTTAAAATTGTAATTAATTTCGTATATTTCAAGTTAGTTATATGATAGTTATATTATAAATACGTTATTATTTAGGTATGTTATATCCTAAATAGTAAGGTTAGAACTTACTTTATATTTTATACTCTGAACAAATATGATATTAGTATCGTAGATAAAAGCTGCAAATGGACATATATGATAGAAGTAATTTTTTTCTACTTTTATTTAAGTATTATCAGAACAGGGTAAAACGAGCTATTTGATTTGAAGAGCATATGAAACTTCATTAATAGTTTCTGTTTCATATATTTTCCAATACTGGGCAAATAAATTATCTTACATTGTCATGATATAAATGCTGTTAATATCGTTAAATTATTATTCATGAAAAATCTATCTTATTTAAATTTATTCTTCTAATTAAAAATTATAATATTTATACTTATTACTATTTTAATTAAAATTAAATATTTATAAAATGGTCACCCCTTATACAATTTATTGAATAATAAGATAATTTTTCATCTTAAGATCAATTATTTATCCCTATTATTTATAATTAATTTTATTTTGATTGAATTGCAATATATTTATATACTTTTAAAATTCAATAAATAAATAAATACATTTGATTCTGTGAAAGGAATTTTCATCTCAAGCACTGTATCGTAAATATAAAATGATATGTTTTTGTTAAGATTTGTAAATTCTATACCTATCTATCTTTCATTGATAAAGGCTATTTTATTTATTTAAAGTTCATCATCTTTTATCAGATTAAACTATTTCTAGTTTGAACTATAAACATATATTTACTAATTTAAATTGGTAAATATGAGCTTATTATATTTATTAGAAATGTAGATATTTTATACATTAGAAAGTTAAAAATTTGAAAGCACTTTTAAAGGGGATAATTATAGCATAATATAATCTGTTTTTCGAATGCAAATAATTAAATTATCTTCACTAAAATCTATAATTTAATAACTTTCTATATTTGATAGATTATTTTATTAATCTATTTATAAATTTTCTTTAAAACTTTAGGAGATACTATCATAGGCTGTTAGATATTTTATATCATTATTTATTATTATTATCTTTTCATTATTTACTCCAGCTAAAGTATACTAATTAACTGGAGCTAATTTTACTCTTTAAGATTTATAAAAAGAGTAATTAATATCAATTTAATAAACTGTATCTATCTAGATAAATGTTAACACTGATAAGTGATAGTTATAATTAAATTTAAGCTTATTGTATGATAAGTTATCAGATATTAAATCTACTTGAAAGCTTTTAAACTAAACATTTCCTATATAGCTTAGTAAATAAATCTATGCTGAAACACTTTCAGTGATAACAAGTATACCCAACTAGCTATCTATAAATATGCTTTTGGTTGTTAGATCAATATTTAAAGGTATTGATTATAATTAATCATTCAATAATTTGAATACAACAATTGTATTTTATTGCCTAAAAATTTAAATCTATTAATAACAAAAAAATATTGCTTTTAAATTTAAAATATTTTATAGAAAATAAATACCTAATTTATAGTGTCACTCCCAACAAAAATGAAATCGTTTCCAATAACTATTGACTATATTAATTTAAAAGAATCTAAATGAAGTACAAGAAATTCTGTTTCATATTAAATATATATCAAATCATTCTAATAATCAATATTAAATTGTTTGTGTTAGCTATGTATTTAGAATGAATTAATTAATATAACTTCATTTTTTTTAATGTTTATTGAATACTAAGCTATTTATTGTTGTTAAAAAAGGATTATTTATTCTTTATTTTTAACTATATCAGTAGCAAAAAAATTGTATTAAGTAATTTAAAAACCTTGTTGGTCAAATATCGTAAACATATTTTATGAAATTGATAATAAGTAATAATCTTATTATTCTTTCCATATTAGCGAAATTAAATACCCTTACATCCTTTAAGCTGTATCTTTTAGGTTTTCTAAATTTTAATTTATTATTACTTAACGATTAGAGCCATCAATTACCATAATTAAAAAAAAATCCTCAAATCTTAATACTTTATAAGACTTTATTTATCTTATATTTATTGATTTACCGGTTTATACATCTGCAGCAACAAAAGATCCAAACGTACCTAAATTTATTGACATATATATATAAGAATTTTCTACAAGATTAGTAAACTAAGCACTAGATGACCATGACTTTTCTGTATAAAAAATTACTTAATTTAATGTTAATTAAAATAATAAAAATTACTAAATTATTTTAAGGACCCATCTATTAAAGACTAAATAATTACTATATTTGTGCTATACTCGGAAAATACTTATTAAACTTAATTTGCTGTTACTTATGAAGATTTATACTTAAAAAAGACATTTTAATTCACGCTGAAGGATGTTTAATATACATATAATTGGTTATATGGATATTGCATGAATAATATATAATTCTTGTAATACATTACGTTACCAACATTTTTATTTATATTAATTTGAGCATTCTCATGTCCATCAAATATAATAGAATTATATTTATCCTAATTTATTAATAAAATTTTTAGTATTTAAAATTTATTTTTTTTATTTGTAAAAATAAATAAGATAGGGGAGAGGAAGGGATTTATATGCAACATTTTTACTTTATATTATAAATTCTAAATTAATTGAAAACAAAGTAATTTGTTTATATTTATTAGATAAATACCCATCTTAATTTATTAATTTTTTTAAATATTTATGAATTAGCTAAAATTAAATTTCTTCTTTTTAAAAATATTATTTATAAACTTTTTAAATTTTTTAATTATGATTATTCAAAAATAGTTAATTAGAACAAATGATAATAATTTTAAAGTTAATTACATTTATAAATCTGATAATCAAAAGAGAGCTAGAATTTTAAATAGGCTCAACATAGCTTATTTCATCATAAAAAGTTACTTATTAATATTAGAAATAGGGATAAGACATATCAAGGTATTTTAGAGTCTTCTTATTAATTTAAATAACGTAGTTAGAAACTGCTTATTCATATTATATTTCATTTAACTATAAAGGATAAAAATTAACAAATTAATTTAGATTTAATTTTATTAGTGGTTAGGAGTTGACATTATTAGCTTAAATTTGTTCTATACAAACTATCAATAGATGTTTAAATAAATAATATTTACTTATATTATACAATTAAGTATCAATAATTGTATTACTATTATCATTAAATAATTGCATTATTTTAATACTCCCATCATCAACTAATAGTGTTTCAGAGTTTATGATCTAAACATTTTTAAAATACAAAAATTATTCAGTTAGCAACTAGCAATTATATTAAAAAATTGTAAAGTATAGGCCACTGTTTTTAAATACTATCAGGTTATTTTCAATTTAAACATCTGTAAAGCAATAATCTTCATAGTTAGGATTATTAGAAAACTAAATAATGCATTCTTATTTAGAATTTGGAGTGAAAGTAATAAGCTAAAGTTAGAAACAGTTTTAAGGATCTTCTTAATTGATTAAATACAAACTTCCATCCACAGATACAATTTTTTTTATATCTTAAAAATTAGTTTATTATTTTTGTAAATTGAGTAAATTTATCTAAAATAGAGTTTGATCTGCAAATATAAACAACTGCTAATAGAATATCAAACTTTAAAATATATCAGATTCAGTTTATTCTCTAAAAAGTATTTAATAATCATCGTTTTAACCAATAATTAAATATTCTCTATCATATAAAATGACAAGCAGTGTGATTTAATTTCTGTTATCATTAAAATATAATGTGCTTTATATTTATTTGTTAATCTTTATTTAGTTATTGCTTTGAGTAAAGGGTTATAGTAAAAGTCCATTTTAGTCTTATTAAAAATATTGAAGGGCATAAATAGTATTATAAGTACTAACAAATATTTGGTTATTATGATAGAAAACTGTATTTATCATTGATAAAAAAGGAGCATTATATATCTATTTAGATATCTACGACCCATCTTCAGAATTTAGATAGACTACAATTTATTAATCAAAAACTGTTATAACACAGTAATCATATATTAAGTATTTTATGCTTTATTCTAAACAAAAAGTAGCAATCATTTAACTGTTTTTCCATAATTATATCTCTAATTTAATTAAAAAATAAATAAATTAATACAAAAGAATTAATAAAATAACAACAATAATAAAAAAATGGTTTTACCTTAATCAAAAATCAAGTATATTAAATCCTACAGATTGGTTGTTTAAATTTTTTATCCTTTTAACTACTATTTTAAAACTTACTAAAAAATTAAATTAATGATTTGAAATCATAAATATTATAAAAAATACATCTCCTAAGTTGTAGCGAATTTAATTTGAAGAGTCTACTTATTTTTATAGTTTGTAAACTAAAAGTTCTTGTTAAAAAGTATCTTCGTTATTTTAAAATGTAAAAATTAAGCTTTAAGTAAGAATCGATTTAATTATGATAGGCTTGAGTCTATTACTTGAATTAATTTAATTATAAGCTGTAAATAAAGGATTTGTTAAGTAAAAATTATTTGAACTATCTTGAAATAAAACAATTCCTTCAGTTTATAAAAAACAAAAGTTATTTATTTCATTAGCTGTTTATATTTTTTTTATGGATTAATCATCTATTGAAAATATAATTAGGTTTTTTTATCTACTTAATATAAAATATTAGGTTGTAAACAAAGCTTAATCTACAATATCATCATACTAAGCAATTATATTTTATTAATATGAGGCTAGATCAATATAAATCAAAGTATTTAATACATAATCTTTGAAGTATTCTGATTAATCACAGTGCTAGATTTGGACATATAATTTGGCTTATTTCTCATCAGCCATTATCTATGTTATTGGAGCTTGCATATCAAGTAAGTTTATTGCAGACATTGTTTTATAATCATAAAATACAATATATTGTAAAGTTCTTCCAATAACCTTATTATTAAAAAAGTATTATTAATTCAAAAATAATTAAGACAAAGTATTACTATTTTGTGATTTAAAATCTCTAAGACAATTATTTCTACTATTTATTCATTCAGATCATCTCTAAGAGAGGAATATTAAAAATCAAATGAATCCTAATCTTATGTTAAACCATTTTATTCTCTGCTGTAATCAGAAAGTAAAAATCCATCTAAGGAACATTTTTAGATAGTATTATCATATATTCCATTAAATTAGGAACATAACACATTTTTGCATATTCCATCATCATTTAAAATATATCCATCTCTACAAACAATGCAAACATTTTGCTAATTATACTTTAAACAATTTATATCAGAAAAATTATAGCACTAAAAACTGTTCAAGCCTTTTAATAAGCTAGTTCCGCAGTCGCTTAAGCATTGTCCCTATTCATTCTTAAATATTTCTGTTAATATATTAAACTTTTTAAAATATTTACTAGATAATAATCCTGCTAGCATTAAATACAATTATTATTTGAAGAACAAAGAGCGCAGTTTTTGGAGCAATATAGACACTAATTTCCATTGCTATCAAAGTAAGAATACACATCTCTGCATACATCAGGAATAGGTATATATGAATTAATCTAACTTACAAATTAGACTAAAACCATAATGAGCAAATAATTTTTTTAATTCATAAAGTATATTTGTAGGTAGATCTTTAATATTTTTAAAAAACTAATAAAAAATAAACAATTAGTTAGGCTTAAAGTTACTTTTAACAGATTAAAGTTTAATATTTTAATACAAAGTTGCTTTTTATATGTTTATAACTTTTGTGATCTTGTGTTCTGCTTTATTTTACTTAAATTAATTCAAAACTATATTTAGTTTGCAATGAGTTTATATAAAAATTATCTTTTTTTCTTCATTAAATCCAGACACCTTGTTTCATTATATGCAAATAATCCATTTTTTTAAAGTCATTATAAAAAAAAAATAAAAGTACTATTTTTTTACTGAAATAAAATTGCTTTTTAACATTTTCTTAATACTTTGAATATAATTTTAAATTTAAATAAATATATTTTTTTTCTTTAACTTTAAAAAAATTTAAGCAAAAAATTTTTATTTTTATGAAATTATATTATTTTCTGATAATGTTTGATATATATCAATATAATAAAAAAATTTTTTAATAATCTTAATATAAATTTAAATTGATTTAAACAGTAAAAATGATGGAAGTAAGTTGTGGTAAAAATGTAATTTATAAATATTTTTTGTATAATAAAAAATAAATAGTTAATTTATATCTATGAAGTATTTAAATTTTTCGATTGTTATTCATAAATTGATATATATAAATAAGAATTTGTTTGGTGTAAAATCAAAATTCAATTTTTATTTCGTTGAATACTAATGACTTCTGAAAATTTATTTTGTCCAATCATAAATTAATATTAAATTTAAAATCAATAATTCATTAATGAGAGGTGTAAAATATTTGTTTATTTGTTTATATACACTCTTTTGTTTATTTATTTAATAATTTAGTTTTCTTATTAAAATAGCGAAATCACTTCTAAGCTTTATTAAAGTCTCTTTGATTTATATAAATAAATCTTTACGATAAGAATTGATTTAGATTGCTTTAATTAGTATTTAACAGCTTAATTTGAGAAAATGTTCTCTTAAGGTAATATTACTTAGCGAGAGAACACAGATATTTCAATCTCATAATCTTAAACAAAACTTGATTCTAATATCCATTAATAAAAGTTAAAGAGTGATTCTAGCTTAGGTAAAATTAATTCTTTCATCAATTAAATAACCAAATTTTTTTTTAAATTGATGATTTCGTTTTTCTGATAAAAAGGCGAAGAAAGATCAAAAATTGTAAGCAATAGTAGCATATAAATAGAAAAATATAAAAAGGACTCTTCAGAATAGCTTAAAATAATTGATGATTAGGATAATGGAATTAAATAAAAGCTTGTTAGCATTAATCATAAAACATAAAAATCAAGTTCATTAATAGATAGATCATTATCAAAAATAAGAATTAAAAGTTAAATTTAATCAGATGAGAGTGAAGAAGGATTTGAGGACTCTTAAGAATTGAAAAAAAGTATTGATTCAGTAACAGAAGGATAAGTAAAAAATACTACTGGAGATGAGTTTTCAATTTAAAGTATCAAAATATTGATTGACAATCGCTAAAAAAATTTTTATTTTAGATACAGAAACAAGAGTCCGCAAAAAGTAAACAGACAGATTACCTCCTCCTCCACTAATAGACTAATAATATTCATTAGTACCTGATATGATAGCAGGGTAATCTTTTTGAGATTTAGTAAAACTCAATTTTAGGATATTTAAAACTTACTTAAAATTATTATAAAATAAGATGGAGACCTAAATTTAGCAATGATACAACTCTTCCTCCTCCTATCCCTTTGTGTTTTGATGATGAAAATTTAGATTATATAATCGAAAAATTACTAAAAACTTAAAGATATACTATATTATATTTAGGTTTCAGACCTAAAACTAGTTATGATATTCATAGAGAATTTAGTGGCAAGCCTAATAGTTATAATTTTAAATATGGGAATATTTTATTGTAGAAAAATGTACTAAGCTAATTTAATGTTCATATTGAAACTGAAAATTTTTAGTAGTAATAGTAGTAGTAGAACAGAGATTTTAATACATCTAATATAATTTAGAATGAAGATTTATCTAGAAAAAGACCATTTTTAGGAATGAATCCATAGTACCCTATCAATAAAATGAAGTTTGATTCTATGTTTGAAGGAGGAAACCTTGATTGTGTCATAAAAATATCTGATTATGAGTATGATTTGTATATGAGAGTAGACTCTAATACAAAAGGGCATCTCTAATGGTATAATTTTAAAGTTTTTAATACTAAAAAAGGAGAGAAAGTTAGATTCAACATTCAAAATTTCACTAAAAAGAGATCTTTGTATTAAAGAGTTTTATATTATTTTTTTTCTTTTATCAAAAGAATAAGCTTATAAGTTAATAAAATATTTTTAATAATCATGACGATAAATATTAATTTTATTTATAACAGAAAAAATTTGAATAATAACTCTAACATTTCAAATATAATCAATATTTAGAATTTTTTCAAGTAAAAAATAAAAGTTTTCTTAAAAAAATATACTAGTTTTAATTAAAAATATTAGTAAGTACCAGATTTTATTTGTTAGATTATCTTCATCAGCCCTAAATATTTTTTTTTTTGAATAATTGACAATCAATTTATTTTAGATAATTTAAAAATTAATTAATTTCATTTTAAATTTAATTATTTTATTTGATAAGATATTAACTTATTTGTTATTCTTTTTTTGATTTTATTTTTATTAACTTAACTATTAATAATAAAAGGGTTTGAAGCCTTTTGTAAAATCAAAAGAGGCTTAAGAGAGAAAAAAGATAGAATGGCATTAGTCTGGAACTAATATACAATACTAAGAAAGGCGAATTTTAAAATACGATTATAAAATAAGCAGGTAAAAATAAATTAACTTTAAAAAAATTATTTATTTTTAAATTTATTATATTAAGAAAGACTTACTATATTCTATCCTTTGAGTATTAGTTTGAATACGATGACGATGAAGTCTAATTTGCTTAAATTCAGCCTTATACATACAGTTATTTGATCAATATGCTGAAGCCTGTAATCTATAATTAATTAAATGATGATTGTAAAAATTCTTATTTATAAGAATCTACTATTTGCAAATCGCTTAGCGGAATACCTGTATAAATGCTAAGTATAACTGACTACTTAGACTAAAGTTTGAATCTAAGTTTGAGGAAAGTAGTTGTAATTATTGCTCGTATGCATCCTGGAGAGGCTCCAGGTTCTTGGATGTGTCATGTAATTATAAACCAGCCACCAAAATCAATTATTTTAATTTATTTAAAAAATATTAGGGACTAATAGAAAGTTTGTTAAGTTAAAATGCAGAAATTTAATAAATAAGAAAGAAGGTTATATTTAAAGTGATCCCAATGATGAATCCCGATGGAGTAATTATTGGTAACTATAGAACAGGATTAGCAGGTAAAATAAATAAAATAAAATTTGATAGTAAAATTGTATTTTAAATTAAATAAAATAGGTCTTGATTTAAATAGATAATTTGGAGATAATAATTTAACAGGTGTCACAAACTAGCTTTTTCCATCTGTATAAGCATTAAAGAATTTAATTAGAGATTTGAAAGAATAATATGGAAAAAATATGCTTGGTTTAATTGATCTTCATGGCCATTCAGTTAAGAAGAATATATTTACATTTGGGCCTTATTATCCTCCTACAGATTTTCGATATTATAGATCAAAATTTATCCCTAAATTATTAGAAAAAGTTTCATAATACTTTAGATTTTACTCTTGTATTTATAATTCATAAAAAGCTAATAAATCTACAGCTAGAGTTTCCTTTTTAAACAAATATAATTTAGAAATTTGTTATACCATAGAAGGAACATTTGGACTATATTACAATTCAGAAACTAAATCTACTGAATACATGAATACAGTAGATTGGATTAATTTTGGAAAGTAGCTCCCTCTTGCATTAAAATAATATATAGAAATGATGGAGACTTATAATGTTATAAAAGAAGCATAAGATTAAAAGAGTAAATACAAATTAATTTTTCTTTTTTTGTTTAATATTTTTTTTATTTTATAAAAGCTTAACAAGAAAGAAATGCATCTCCCTTGAAAAGGAATAATAACTTATCGCCTATTAGAATTAACTCTATAACTAAAATAAAACAATTTTAAACATCAAGAGATATTTCAGAATAAGGCGACTTTATTCCATTTGACGAAAGTTAGGTTTACAATCTCGGAGGCTTACTAAAAGAGATATAAAACGATGAGTTAAAAATAAATAACTAATCTGATTAATAGGAAGAAGCTGATAGTTCTGATTAATATTCAGATAATTTGGCTGATTCAGAACCTTCTGATGAAGATATTCCAGTATTTATTAGTTAGTTTTTAATGTATTAATTCAAATATATTTTTAAAAAAATAGAGCATATAAAGAAGCAAACTCTTTTAGAATATAGACAATTATTAAAAGAATTTCATGAAATTCATCACTGGAAAGAAAAAAAAAGAGTAATTAATTATTTAAGGAGGAGAAGAGAAGAGAGATAAAATAATCACTCATAAGTTAAAGAGATCAGCAATTAGTGAAGATACTAGAGAATAAGAAGCTTAAAAGAAAAAGAAAAAAAGTAAAAAGAAGAAGAAAGACTAGTCCCTCGTTCTATAGAAAGAAGATTTAATTATGAAGGATAATAGCGATATATAAAAATCAATGAAAAGATTAGATAACATAAGATAAAGCTAAAAAAAGTTAAATCTTTAAAATGATTTAAAATTTTCTGAATTATCTTCTATTGGATAATATTAGAGATCTCTACCCTATATTGAAGATGAAAACTATGAAGAAAGTGCATAAAATATGTTTTTAGCAGACTTAAAGAAAAAGAAAAAGGCTAGAATAAAGCTAAGGATATCTTAAAATAATTCAATGATAGAAAGCTAAAATGATAGTATAAGTTACAATCCTGGATAAAATATTAGAAGTTCATACTTGGATGACGAAGATGAGTAAATTGATCAATATAAAATAATGCATCTAAGCAGAAAATATCAAAGTAATTAGAGTCCAGATTAACTCAAAAATAAAAGTTCACCTTTTAGGAAACAAGATAACGATTAATTATATTATTAATATCCAGACTAATAAAATTAAAATGAGATAGATTTTAATAATTAAGCAATGTTTTATTAGTTAAAAAATAATTTACCCCATTATTATAAAAGAATACCAAAAAATAGAGTTCCTTTAAAGTTAAATATAATCTGTGATAAGTTTCAAACAGGTTCATAAAAATAGCCATAGTAATAACAATAATAATAGTAAAAATAATAATAGTAATAACTTTAAAATTCTTTTTAATAGGAATAATAAATGCAAAAGCAGCCTTTATATGGTGCTGAATAACCTAGAAATTATTATAATTTAAATATAAACCATAACACTCCTAAACCTTAAAATCTAAATAACACATCTACAAACATTAATTATGAATATTAAAATCCTCCATCTCCTATTTACAATTAGAGAGTACACGAAAATTTATATAATTAAATTATTTAAAGTGCAATAAAAGGAAATATAACTCATAAAAGTGAGAATAAATAAAATTAATTTAATAGTGAAACCAGCAGTCCAAATAAACCACCAATATCAATTAATGAACTCAAATTACCAATAATTTAAAATAAGCATACTCGAGCATTTTCGAACAACTAAAATAATATGTCCAATAGAAATAGTAAAACAATTAACATATATTAAATGCCGATTATGGAGTAAGCAGGGGTGGACAAAATTGATTTTGATATGTTTAAAAAAGAAATTATGAGATTCAAGCGTGGTTCTCATTTGTCTAAGCCTTAGTAACCAGAATCTAAAATAATTTCTTCTCATAACACTTATTCTGTTTCACCTAACTAGCATAGAGCTTCTTCTCAAAACATTTAATAATAATCATAAATAATACCATAATTTCCTTAATTTTTAAACTGAATA